GGGGCCGCTGCTGGGGGCTGCTGCTGGGGGCCACTGGAGGCTGCTGCCGGGGGCTGCTGGAGGCCGCCGCTGGGGGCCGCTGCTGGGGGCCACTGGAGGCTGCTGCCGCTGCCTCAGGGCTCTGATTCTGCAGAATGCACCTTGCATCTTGCACCACTGTGGCGCTCAGGACTGGTGGACCACAAGGTGTATCCCGAAAGCTGGCTTCTGAATCCAGCTCAGAGCAGGGTGGGGAGAATTCCAAAAACCTTCAGCGCGTGGGAGTCAGTATTCTTGGTTTTCTTCCCCCTTCTGAGTTTGAATAACATGTTTGTTGAGCTGAAGTTGTGTGCCAGCTTTATGTGCCTTGGGCTCCACCCCGCCCTCACAGCCCCACAGGGGGTCTCGTCATCCAGGCCGCTGGAGGAGTGCTGTGACTTTCGGCCCCATACCTGTGCCTGTAATCCCACACCTACGCTCCACCCCAGGGCCAGGACGACAGGGCTGTGCGCACACACAGTGAGGTGGGACCAGGCCTGCCCTGCCTGGCTCTGACACCAGGGGGCTGCGTCCCCTCTGCTTCTAGGGCTGGGAACTCCCAGGGAAGACCAGGCTCGCGCGTGTGCAGCAGAAACTCCATGGTGACTGTAAGCAGAGGACAGTGTTCCAGGGTTTGCGTGGTCCCTGTAGCTGCCGGAGGACCTGGGCCTGAGCCCTGCAGGGACCCCCGGGCTTTCTGTGTGCCTGTGTAGCATTTACTTCTTTTCCCTTTATCTCTTGCACTTTACATTTCCATCCTTTAAAATAAGGTACATGCATTTAATTTAAAACCTTGCAGAGATGTGTGGGCCTCAGCAGGCTGGCCCGTGTCCTGGCCGTCCCTGGAGCTGCCCTCTGTCCACCCTCAGACAGCAGCAGTGAGGTGGGGCTGGCAGGGCCCAGGCAGAAGCCGCTCATGAGCAGAAATGAATAATGAACGTGGAAACCAACACAGCGTGAAAACCTTCAAGTAACGGCTGCTGCTGTCAGACTGCAGAGCTGTCTAAATGGTTATCTTAGAGAGGTCAAAGGTGAGGATGGAACTCACGCCCACAACAGAGAGCACTGTGGCCTCGGGGCCTGCAGACGGAAGCCCTTCACAGTCAACCCTGGACACTGAGCCGGCGGCCCCAGAGCCTCCGAGGTCCTCCTTTGCAGGCACCCAGGGGAGAAAGGGCCCTCGGCCATATCCTCTGCATCAGGAAGCCCGCAGGTGTGTGACGGGGTCCTCCCAGAGGGGTCGCAGTGGTGGGTCCTGGGGCTCCCATGGAGGGCACGGGTGTGAATACAGAGGATGCACTGGCCCATCAAAGGCGCCAAAGAGCGGGAGGGACGGCAGCATGCTGGGTGCTGCTGAGTCCCAGATCTCAAACTAGTTCGGGAGCCTGGACTCTGACAAGGTCAATCGAGACTGCATCTAAAAGAATGAAATTTAATACTAACGGAAGTTAAGGAACGCAGGTAGAATCCAAAGTCAGACTACAAGGCCACGCACGTGACTGCAACTTAGGATCGCCCTAACGCGGGTGCCACAGCAGGTACATCAGTGAAGCCAGCGCCCAGAACAGGGCGGGGACGTCTCCAGTCCGCATGGCTCCACCTGCTGTGAACGTCCCGGGTGCTGTCCATGCCCAGAGGAGAAGCATCGGAATCAGGACATATCTGGAAACCATAACCCAGGGGCAAGGCAAATAGAGCAGAGAGCGCTCAGCCAAGACAGGGCCATGGCAACCCCAGGCAGTGAGATTCGAGTCACACCAGGAAGAATCTGTTCTCAAGGTTCTGTCTGGACCCAGCAATGTTTTCTGTGTGGGGTTTGTGCAGCCTCAGCCAATTACTCCTGGGGGTTATGGCAGAGATTCCCACTGGGTTGGGGAGCTGAATTCGATGCCTGCTAAGATTTCTTTCCCACTCGGTATTTGCTACCCACAGAGTGGGGAGGCCATGAACAAAGCGGGCTGCCCAATAGCGGCTGCAGGATCGCAGGGCAGGCTGAGCTGCGCTTGGTTACCAGGGTCTGGGCCTGCAGCGCCGAGTAGGACAAGTCGGGGGGTCTCGGAGTCACAGAGCAGGAGCACCTCACCAACAGCCAAGGACCCGGGGGCTGAGGGCCAGGGGCCAGGGGGCAGGGCCAGCCCAGACCACCCCTCTGCCCTGCATTCAGCCCCCGCCTCACCAGGCTGTCCCAGGAGGAAGTGGCAAGAGCAGTGACTTGCTCAGGTGGCTGGGGAAGGTGTCCTGCACAATCCTCTGAGAGGAAGTTGGATCTTTGGCATCCTGGCAGCCCCAGCCCTACCTCACTGGTGTCTTCCCAGCAGGCAGAACACACAGTTTCTATACACACAGCATTTACATCTCTCCCAGCACGCAAGACAGACTTAACGCATTCTAGGAAACTGCAGACATGAATCCCCGAGGGCAGGGGTCCCCAGCTCCCAGCCACAGATGGGTACCCGTCCATGGCCTCTAGGAGCCAAGCTGCACAG